ACGAGGCCTTCCGTCAGATGCGCGAGGAGCAGACGCTGTGGGCACCGGGCGCGGCTGGAGAACATCCTTCAGCCCGTGGTGGACCCCGAGGGGTCCTCGGAGGGACGTGTCGGGCGAATGATCGCCGATTGGAGTAGGGTCGGTTCGAGAGCCGCCCCCCCGCGAACCAGGAAGAGCCAGGTCCAGGTCTCCGGGCAGGGGTGCGTCGGGACCTGGTGGGGGCGCCCGAGACACCGATGAGGTGGTCCTCTTGTCTGTCTCCGAGGAACAGCTAGGTCAGTATTTTCTCTGTCTATGCACGAAGGGATGGCCGATAGAGGATGGGGCGGATCTTGGGTGGAATTCGGAAATGGAAACGCCGATGTGGAGCTCGTTCCCGGGGAAGGAGCCGAAGTCGGCTCACTGACGCTGGCCGCGTCGAGGGGTTCGGAAGTTTCGAAGAGGCCTCCGAGCCCAGAACAGGTGGCGGAGTTCGACGCAGCTGACGCCAAGGAATGGACCGCTATCAAAGACACGAAGGCTGTGCGAGTGTTTCCCCCCGAGGAGCGTCGAGCGCTTCGGGCTCGGTCTCCAAATCGAGCCGCGTCCAGCCGTATGGCGCGGCGGAGGAAACCGCGGGGGGGATTTGTTGCCCGCCCCCAGGCCAAGAGCCGCTGGTGTGGTCGAGGTCTCGAGGACGAAGACGCCAGAGAACTTAGAGTTTACCTCCCCACCCCACAGACGGAGAGTCTCATGTTGTTTCTGACGATGTCTTCGGCCCTTGCCGTGGATGTCCAGAGCGGAGACCTCGAGAGGGAGCGACCCCCGAGGGGGAGTCTTCGTCCCCCTTGTTCGCCCCCGAGGGAGAGTTTTCGTCGAAGCATGTGAGGGATTGCCCCCCCCCCTCCCCCTGGATCCTTAATCGGACTCATCGCGCCCGTTTGCGGGTTGGGCGATGGCCCCCTCGCCCTTCACCGCGCCGCCGTGTCGTTCTTTGAGTCGAGGGGGTATGTTAAGTCCAAGCTTGAACCGTGCTGGATGACCATGAGGGGGCCCCGGGGTCCGGAGTCCATGGTATTCGAGGTGGACGACTGGTGCATGGCTCATGTTCGTCGGCGCAGGCTGAGGGGTTGAAGTGCTACAGAGAGCGCTTCGATTTTGGCAAGATGGTCAGAATAGATGCCTCGGGGGTAGAGTGCGTCGGCCGACGGCTTAGGAGGCTGCCGGACAGGATATAGGTAGACCAAGGGAAGTACATTCTCGAGCAGCTCCATCGCCTTCCCCCCAGGGCCAGAAGGTCCGATCACGAGGCGCCACCCGTCGGCCGCGAGATTTCAGATTTCAGATCCATGATGTACCGTCTTAGCTGGGTTGGACGCGAGACGCGAGCGCAGGCCTCGGGCGCCGCATCCTTGCCGGCTAGTAGGGGCACGCACCTTCCGTCGGAGACGCCGTTGCGCTGAATAAGGTGGTCGACCATCTTAGGCAGACTACAAGTGTGCCGATAATCGCGTGGCGTTCCAACGTCAGGTCTGTTCTGTTTGCCGCGGCTTCCGACTGCGGCGGGGTCGCGGCGAATGGCGGGAGCAAGCCCCGACGGGCGTGGCAAGTGTGCGCGGCAGACGCCGTATTGTCCAGAGGGCCCCGGGCCCGGGTTACCCCCCGCGCGCGGCGCTCGTCCCTGGCGAAGCGCCAGGTTCCTTCGGCGCTTGCCGGGGAAGTTCAGTCTCTGAGCGCAGCGCTCGCAGAGGCTGAATGGTTCCAGATGCTGTTTTACGATGTTCTCCAGGGGAAGCTTTTGGATGATTCCTGGAGGTCTCATGTAGGGCCGTTCGCTTCAGTGTTGCGCAAGATCTGCACCCTGGACCTGGCCTCCGAGGGGAATATCAGCATCGTAGACGCTAAGGGCATCTTTGACACCCAAGGACAAAGAGACGTCTGGAAGTAAAAATGATAGAAGGGCTGCGATCGATCTTGCAGTCTGTAGAGACTCTTTTGGACGTGTGGGGGGAGCGGGTCGCTGGGTACCTCATCCTATGATGCCCGTTGACGTGATGACAGAGGCCGGCCTTGCCAAGTCAAATGCCGCCCAGCTCCACTTGCTACGTTCAGGTCTTCTGCAGATCCTTCCGAGAGCACGGGCTTGGATAATCGTCGGCAGGGCCCGTCGTCTAAGGGTCGTTTTCGAGCTGCGTCCGCCAGGCAGCTGGCGGCCGAGTCTGCCGGTCCGTAATCGTTGTCGTTGTCGTCGTCGTTTCTTTCCTTTCTCTCACCCAAGACCTCGTCGGTGGAACCGACCGGGTCCGAGCGTACTGCTCGCAGCCGGCCGAGAGCTTTCAATGTCAGATCAGTCGGAGGGTGCCCCTGCGGTTTCATTTAGTGGACTGTCAAGTTCATGAAAATGGGCGGACTGACTAAATGAGTTCCTGCAGTGTATACTATCCTTTTGATCTTGAACTCCCGGCATTGATTTTCAGCTGTGTGTTCACCCGTAGGCACCCGTCGGCCCGAGGTTGTTGCGTGTTTGAGGAAAGGGTCTCTTCGCCACCATCCTACCGGATATCACTCGATGTGTTTTCGCGCGTCAAAGTGTCGCACCCATTTTGTTTCATTATTTTGTTTTTCTCGGATGCGAATCAAGGAACCCTTGTGTTTTTCATTGTTTTTCATTGTGTTTGTATGGATTTTTGCGGTTTTCTGTTTCCAGAAGAAGTACAGGAACTTCCGAAAGTTCAGAACCTTAGACATACCCCAGCTCGCAAACATTCCAATGAGCACACAGGGTTTCCTTGACACACATCCCATAGCACCCCAACATCACAATGGAACCACAGGATTTGGCGTCCCCAGACGTTATTCACCCTGTGATTCCACAAGGATCGCTGTGAAGACACTCTGTGTCTCTCGCTCTCCCCTTGCGCGCTTCCTTGCGAAAGAAGGAGGACGACGAGGGAAAGGAGCAGGAGGAGGATAAGGAGGAGATGCTGGGGGAGGAGGATAAGGAGGAGGGGGAGAATGAGCAAGAGACGGAGGAGGGGGAGAACGAGCAAGAATGACAGAGAGAAGGACACAGAGAGGGACAGACAGACGGGTGAGGCAACGATATATATATATATATATATATATATATATATATATATATATATATATATATATATATATATATGTGCATGTGTATGTATATGTGCATGTATGTATGTATGTTTATATATATATAGATGGAGAAAGAGAGGGAGAGAAAGAGACATAGAGAGAAACAGAGAGGGAAATAGAGAGAGAGAGAGAGAGAGAGAGCGAGAGCGAGAAAGAGAGAGGCAGAGAGAGGAAGACACGCAGAGCGAGAGAAAGAGAGAGAGAGAAAGAGAGAGAGCGAGAGGGAGAGAGTCTTGAGAGAGCAACGATCCCAGTGGAATCACAAGGTTTGCGACGTCAGGCGACATCTGACGTCGTTGACCCTGTGATTCCTCGGGGACCGCTGCTACCGCAAGTCCCTCTCTCTCTCTCTCTTTTCCTCCCTCTCTCATGTCTCTCTCTCTCTCTCTATCCCACCTTTGCGCTTCAGAAGAGGAGGAGGGCGACGAGGAAAAGGAGGAGGAGGGGAGGTGCTGGAGGGGGGGGAGAAGGAGCAAGAGAGACAGAGAGAGGGACACAGACAGGGACAGAGAGAGAGAGGGAGAGAGACACACTGAAGGAGAGGTAGAGAGAGAGAGAGAGGGAGAACGACACAGAGGTGTGTGTGTGTATATATATATATTGTATATATATATATGTATATCTATATGAACAGAAAGAGAGAGAGAGAGAGAGAGAGAGAGAGAGAGAGAGAGACAACGAGGAGCGATATCAGTATGTATGTATGTATGTATGTTTGTATGTATGTATGTATGTATGTATGTATGTATGTATGTATATATATATATATATATGCACACATCGCCCTCATCGCCCTCTTCCATTCCAAGCCGCAGAGCCTGCTGTTTTAGAGAAGCGGCCTCGAGCTGTATTGTACAGCCGACCTCGGCCTCTGCTTGTTTGTTCTTGTGCTGCACTGCCTGCACTGACCTGCGTGCTCAGTCGGCCACGTGGGCCACGTGGGTTGTTTTCTGTATGCATGTTCTTGTTCGTGCCCGACCTGATCTGCACGGTTCCGCGCTAGCGCTGCGAGCTTCCCCCCCCACCCAAATGTATATGTATACACAAATAGAAAGGGAGAGAGAGAGAGAGAGAGAGAGAGAGAGAGGGAAAGAGAAAGAGAGAGAGAGAGAGAGAGATGGAGAGAATCTTGAGGGAGCAGCGATCCCTGTGGAATCGCAAGGTTTGCGACGTCGGGGGTCGTCAAACCTCGTGTTTCCATTTTGGTTTCTGGGGTGAGGTTCAAGGGAGTTCATTTGGATGTCATTTGGATTTTTGGGATTTGTGGAGTGAGAATCAAGGGAACCGTTTGTGCTTCCATCGGGATTTGTAGGGTTTCTGGGATTTCTAAGGTTTGAAGCCCAGGAGGCTCTTCGATTGTTTTTTTTTTCTGGAGGGAGGAAATGTCAAACATCCCAAACATCCAAATGACAACATAGGTTTTCCTTGATTCTCATCTTGAAAATCCCGAACATACACATGAAAACACACGGTTTGGCTGCTCCCTCAAGTCTCTCTCTCCCTCTCTCCCTTTTGATTCCTTTTTATGCGCTCCAGAAGAGGCGGCGGACGAGGAGGAGGAGGTGGAGGAGGAGCCAGAGAGACAGGGGCCACTTCTCCCTCAAGTCTCTCTGTCTCTCTGTCTGTCTGTGTCTCTCTCTCTCTCTCTCTCTCCCTCGCTACCTCTCTCTATCTCTCCCCCTCTCTCGCTCACTCTTTCTGTCATTTTGCTTCATCGGAAGAGGAAGACGACGACGAAGAGGATGATAAGACGAGAAACACCTCCGCAAAATAATACTGGTAAGAACTGGTGCGGTGGGGGGCTGTACACATATATGTGTATATATATATATATATACACACATACTCATATGTGCAGTTTTCCTCAGGCACCGGCCAGCCCCAGCTCGAGCGAGTGCGAGACGGAGGACGAGCCTGACGAACACGCCTGGTCGGACTACCTCTTCCAAGTGTGGGACCTCATCATCAGGCCGCCCCGGCTGCGCTACTCGAGCCTCGAGCTCGTGGGGAGGTACCCCGAGTCGTTCACGGTGGGCCGCTGGCCGGTGCGGAGGACGGACTTCCAGCTGGTCAACGACAGGAGCCTGACCCTGGAGTGCACCGTCTTCCAGCTGCGAGAGGGTGTGGCCTCCGGCGGCCGGGGCCCCGCGGGGGAGGAGCGCGCCTGCGTCGTCTTCTGCCACGGCCACGGCAGCAACCGCCTGCACGGCTTCCAGCTGGTGCCCATCCTGCTGCCGCTCAACATCTCCCTCGTCTGCTTCGACTTCGCGGGGTCTGGCATGAGTGGCGGCGAGTTCACGTCGCTGGGCTTCTTCGAGCGCGACGACCTCCGGTGCGTCATCGAGCATCTGCGGGAGAAGCGGGGCTTCACTCGCATCGGCATCTGGGGCGTTTCCATGGGCGCCTCCACAGCACTGATGCACGCTGCGCGCGACCCCATGCTCGCTGGCGTGGTCGCGGATAGCCCCTTCAGCGACCTTCGGACGCTCATCCGGGAGCTCTGCGCAAAATGGGTGCCGCTGCCGTGGGCGCTGCTCAGCGGCGTGCTCTGCGTGGTGCGCGGCAAGGTCCAGAAGAAGGCACTCTTCGACATCTACGACGTGGCCCCGAGCGAGCACATGCCGAATTGTCACGTGCCTGTCTACTTCTTGCATGGAGACAAGGACACCTTCATTTCGCCGAAGCACTCGGAGGAGCTGCGGCGTTGCTGCGGCGGTGACGCCGACTTGCTGAAGGTGCGCGAGGGCACGCACAACTCGCCGCGCCCCCAGGCGACAATGGTCCGCGCGGCTCTCTTCCTATTGAGGGCAATGCGCTGGGAAGACCAGCTGCCTCAGGGCGTCACGATCAAGGACGTGCTGAACCTCGCGGGCAGGGCTGGAGCACCTCCGCAGGCGCCGCTGATGGGCCAGAGCGCCCACGGAGATGGCAGCATTCAAGCACTCCTGGAGTCCGCGGCGCCCGCGAACGTCAGCCTGGGCATCGTCAAGGTGGCGTGCCGGCTCGTTGCGCCGTACGCCGGCGCGGAGGTCATCTCGTTCCGCGGGCCCGCAGCCGCCGTCGAGCCGCTGCGCGCGCGCCTGCCCGCGTGCGTGTCGGGCACCCTGCGCCTTCGGTCTGAGCACACCGAGTTCGCCCTCTGCTGGGTGGAGGGCGACCTCCCGCGCCTGGGGCGCGGGGGCGGCGCCACCCGCGTGCGGGTGTGGTTCGCGCTGGCCTCCACCGCGGCGCTGAGCCTCACGTCGGTGCTGCTGCGCTTCGGCGGCGCGCCTCCCAAGGACCGGGTCCCCCTGGCGGGCTTCGTCTGCGAGGCCGTGGACACGGCCGACCAGGCGCTGACCCGCGCCCTCCACGCGGGCTGGCAGTCCCGCGTCTCGCTCGCCGTGGGGCTCGACGGCGCCGCCGAGGTGCGGGCGGGAGACGCCCAGGCGACCAACGCCGCCTGGAGGGCATCGGCCGCCGCGGGCGAGGCGGGCACCGCCGAGGACGCTTGCGTGTGGGCCCTGCAGTGGGTGCGTGCCGGAGAGGCCGGCGGAGTCCACATGCAGCTGCGGGCGGCGACGACGGCGCCGGCGTGCGGCCGCTGAGGCGCGGGCGCGCACGCCCAGCGGAGGGGTCAGCTGGTGGGGAGTGTAGGTGGGTGGGTCCAGGCCGCCCGAGTGGGCCAGAGCAGATGCGGGTCGGAGGATCGCGCCGCATCGCCGATGCAGCGGCGATGCGGTGCTATCGGGAGCTTGGTTAGCTCCACCATGGCGTCGCCTATGCATCGCCGATGCGTCGGCGAAGCAGCGCGATCCTCCGACTCCGTCTGCTCTGGCCTCCTCTGGGCGCCCTCGGGAGGAGTGAGGGGGGGATGGGGAGGGGGGATCGCCAGGGAGAAGGAGGGGTCCTGGACGAAAGGGGTCCCGTTTCGCCTCCGCGGCCCGGGGGCCGCGGACGAAAGAGGTTCCCGTTCCGCCTCTGGGGCCAGGGAACCGGCAGAAAACAGCTCAGGGTCAAGAGCTGGCCTTTTCCGCCAGGGCCGCTTGTCCTCGGCCACATGGGGAGGAGGAGGCTCTGCCACTGGGAAGGGTCCCCGGTGAGCTGGGAATGGCCCCCCGTGCGCGCGGCTGGCCTGCTCCGTCCGAAGCAGGCCGTCGCCGCTGCCGTGGGCGAGTGCACGCTTCTTGTGTTTGTTGTTTTTATTGTTGTTGCTATCCTTGTTATTATTGCTGTTGTTAGTGTTGCTGCTGTTGTTCTTGTTGCTGCTGCTGCTGCTGTTTGTTATTGTTATTGTTGTTATTGTTGTTACTGCTGCTGCTGCTGTTATTATGGTTGTTGTTGTTGTAGTTTGTGTTGTTGTTGTTGCTGTTGTTGTAGTTGTAGTTGTAGTTGTAGTTGTAGTTGTAGTTGTAGTTGTAGTTGTAGTTGTAGTTGTAGTTGTTGTTGTTGTTGTTGTTGTTGTTGTTGTTGTAGTTGTTGTTGTTGTTGTTGTTGTTGTTGTTGTTGTTGTTGTTGTTGTTGTCGGTTGTTGTTGTTGTTGTCGTTTGTTGTCGTTGTCGTCGTTGTCGTTGTTGTTGTTGTGGTTGTTGTTGTTGTTGTTGTTGTTGTTGTTGTTGTTGGTGTTGTTGTTGTTGTTGTTGTTGTTGTTGTTGTTGTTGTTGTTGTTATTGTTATTGTTGTTGTTGTTGTTGTCGTTGTCGTTACCGTTGTCGTTGTTGGTGTCGTTGTTGTTGTCGTTGTTGCTGCTGCTGTTGTTTGTGTTGTTTGTTGTGGTTGTCGTTGTTGTTGTCGTCGTCGTCGTTGTCGTTGTCGTCGTTGTGTTTGTTGGTGGTGTTTTTGTTGAACTCTGATGTTTGAAGAATAGTTATTGTTGATCCCCTTCACCGGTGCATATTCTTATTTGTCTGTCAAAGTGTGCCCCTTGATGCTCGCACCCTGTTTTTTGACAGGGAACGTCTCGATGGTCAAACTGTGCCCCTGGGCCCCCGGACTACAATAACAACGGCTCCCGCCTGAGACTTCTTCCAAATTTACTCCGGACCCCCCCCTCCCGTCTGAGATTTCTTCCAATTTATTTCAGAGAATTTAGTCCGGGTCAAATTGCGTTGTTGCTCCCCCAGACTACAACAACAACGACGGCTCCCGCCTGAGGCTTCCTCACAATTTGTTGAAAAATTTCGCTCTCGCTTTGGACTTCCTGGCAATTTACCTCCGAACCGCGGCTCCCGCCTGAAACTTCCTGACAGTGT